GTGCAGGCGCGCGGCCGCGGGCAGAAGGCCCCCTCCGCCGTTTCAACCTCCCCCATCTTCCCCGCTCCAGCCAGCACCCGCCACTATCCGCGGCTTGAGGGCCGCTGGCACGGCCGCCTGCAGGTCACACGCCCTGACGCGCAGCCAGACCTGGCCCTCCCATGCCAACCTGCAACCTCTCCCCTCCCTTAGCACTCACACCCCGGCCAAGCCCGCCTTGTGCATGCCGCCCTTGGCCCGCTCTTCACTGCAAAACCCTGGCCGATCCTCGCAACATCCCTCCCTCGGAGTGCTCAATCCGTCATGTACCGTATCGCCCCTCTTGTAACCTCCCCGCGGCAGGTGAGACGTTCCACCAGGCCGCGGAGAGGGGACTGCTGGAGGAGCTGGGCGTCGCCGCCTCCCTGCCTCGTGCGCCCGCGGTCGCGCGCCACCTGCGCAGCGTCGCGCAGGACCTGCCTGGCGGCGGGCGGCTGCACGACTGCGAGTTCGTGGAGAGCTACAGGCTGGACGGGTTCGAAGGAGAGGTGGGCGCTTTGGCGTGGGTGCAGGCGTGCTCGCGCGAGGGAGGGGCCGGGGGCGGGGCGAAGCGCTTGGGTGGGCGCGTTTTCGGGGTGTGTGGAGGGGCGATCGAGGATAGGGGGGTGGGGCGAACGTGATCGGTGCTGCTGGGGCGAGGCAGGTAGTTGTGGGAGGGGGGGGGGGCAGTGCGCCCGCGCGGCCGGCACCCCGGCGCCAGCAGCCCCAGGCTTGCTGGCTCTGCGCCGCCTCCCGTGCGATGTGTCTTCAGAGCTGCTGCACACTCTGGTGTTGTGATACACCGCAACCTGCAGGTATTGAATGTCATAACGGTTCACCAACTTATTTTATGCTCCATGCACGCGCGTTTTTTGCTTCACCAACATCGCGCACTGAGAAGGTGCACGTGAACGAGCACGAGGTCATCGGCACACGCTGGACCACGCTGGAAGAGGTGGGGCCGGTCTGTGGGCGTGCATGCATGCATGCATGCATGCATGCCTGCGCACGAGCATGCGCACCCGCACGGACGCCTGTCTGCGCTGTTGTTGTGCGGTTGTGTGGTTTATTCATTTTGTGTGTGTGTGTGTGTGTGTGTGCGTGCGTGTGTGTGTGTGTGTGTGTGTGTGTGTGTGTGTGTGTGTGTGTGTGTGTGCGCGCGCGCGTGCGTGTGTGCGTGCGCGCACGCATGTGAATGTGCGCTGACATGCGTGAGCCACATGCACGTGCACATGCATGCATGCGCGCATGTCGGCTCGTATGCATGCGCGCTTTGAAGTATTGACATGCAGCTGCTTTGCCCGTGAGCCTGCTGCATGACAGCGCTGCAAATTGCCGATCCGGCACCTCATCGGGCACCGGCCCTGGAGGGCCACCGTCCCCCCTCTGTGGCCGTTGTGCAGCCCTGACAGGCGCACCGCCTCAGGCGCCATGCCCCCCCAAACCGCCGTCATGCCCCGCAGCTGGCAGAGGAGATCGCGCGCGAGCCTGAGTCTTTCACCCAGTGGCTCAGGGAGGAGCTGCCGCTGCTGCCGCGTGGCTGAGGGGGCACCTCGAGCGACCGCATGCCCCGCCGCCCCCCCCCCTCGGACTTGTGTGGCGCGGGCCGGGCGGCATTAACAGCGGTGCGGCTGGCGTGGCGCTGGTTCGCCTAGCTGAGTGCATGCAGGGCATCCTGGCAGGGTCTTGACATTAGCAATCTTCTCATGTTTTTTCAAAGCCGCGGCCGGAGCCGCAGCGCTCACTGGACTCAAGCGGTCAAGCGGGGGTATTTAGGTGCTGTCACAACCTGTACTCAAGAATCTGCCATCCTTCATGTCGTCCGGTCAAAGCCCAGCCAATTGCTGTCGACGCGCTGCACTGGGACGCAAAGTAATTATGGCTGAGACAATCCGTGATCATTTGGGGTTGCCAGAAGCAAGTGTTGTACGGGCGAGCCCGGCAGGCGGCTGCGCGCAGGTGTCATAAAATGGCGGGAAACGACATCGCGTTGGAGCTTCCGTCACCAGCTCGCAGCTTTGGGTCCCTTCTCCAAATTGGCAAACGGCAGCAGTGCTTTTCTACTCCTGGATCTCCAAACACGTGTACCTGCCCCCTTGCTGCCGTATGGGGGACTGTTGGCTCCCACGTCATCCGAGCCGCCGTCGGCAATCCCTGGAAGCCAACTGCAGCTGACGTCATGGGTGCTGCCGGCCCCCAGGCGGTGCGCCGCACCGCAGCGTCTCGACTCTAGCACAGATCTGCGGCTGTGCAAGGAGAATGTGGAGAATAAGGTGCGAGCTGCCGTGGTGCCAAGAGGCATCTGATACCCGGGCTGCGGTGGTTGTGCGCGATCATGGCGCAGTGACAACTGGCGCCCCTCGAGCTCCAGCTCCAACACCCTCTTGACGTCTGATACGCCGACAACATTGCATTTCCACGTTTTCAAGCGCCTCTTCACCTCAGTCGAGGCTTGATCGGCTCGCTTTCCGCCGTCTGTCCGTCTCGGCGGCACCAGGTTTTGCTCGACTCCCTGCACGCATAGGACCACCATGTCCTACCTCAAGGTCTCCGTGATCCTGTTGATCTCCTTCTGCGGTGAGCCAAGGCGCGGTATCCCGGATCCCGATGATCCCGAGTTTGCCGCCGTGTCCTCGGAATGCCCTCGACTCCTTCTCACCGCCCTCGTTCGGCCCCCACGCGCCTCTGTGGCCCCACACGGCTCCAGTGGCGTCTGATGCCCGCAGGCTGAAGCAGAACGCTGCGGCCGCGTCGCAGGCCAACGCCGCGGCCGGCGGCGGCGGCGCCCAGGCGCAGGCGCAGGCCCAGGCCTTCGCGCAGGGTGTCTCGGCCGGCAACGCCCAGGCTGCCGCTCAGGCGATTGCCTCTGCCAAAGGGGGCTCGCAGGCCGTTGGACAGGTGGGGCACCTGAAGCTCGCTGTCCTTGGCCTTGGCCCCATGACGTCGCCCGACGCAATCCATAAACCCCCTGTGCCTTGATTGTCCCTGCCGTGCCCCCCCTTCAACAGGCCCTGGCCAAGAGCTCCGCCGAGGGTGGCACGCAGGCATCCTCCGCCGCGCAGGCCGTCGCCCAGGCGGCCAAGCAGGGTGCGCCGCTGTCTTGCACCGCCTCGGCGCTGTGCACGCACGCAAATGCCCGCGCGCAGTCTCTTGCACTACCAAACCCAGCCTGCACCTTGCTGGCCCATGCTGAACGTGACATTGATAGACGAGGCCCCTGCAATCCACCAGCAGCGTTCCCACCCATCAAGTCTCCAGCATACCCTAACAGCCCGCCCCCTTCCCCCGCCCCGTTTTGTGTCCCCCCAAACCCCAGATCTGCCCACCACAGCCAACACCCTTGCCGACGCCCTGGCCCAAGCGTTCTCCGCCGGCCAGATCCAGCCGTTTGCAAACACCCTGGTAAGCTGGCACGGCATGAACCCAAGACAACCAATCTTCCCTGCCTTCCTATGGGCGGCTGACCTTGAACAATTGCGGTCAGCATTACATGTTGTGCACATCAGCATCCTGAGCCGATCCACGCTACGGGCGCCTCATCCAAATACGAACGACCAATTCGTTTCTGATGGCAACCGCCTCATCACCCAAATCTTCTTGTCTATGCCCCTGTCACCTTCTGCTCTCCAGGGCCAGGCCGTCAACCAGGGTGGCGGCAGCGCGGCCGAGGCCATTGCTCAGGCGCGCAGCCTCTGCCTGATTTGGCCCGCCATAGGCTCTCTTGCACCTACCCTTTCACCAACCTAGCCCCCTCTGCTGCAGCCCGACTGTCTGTATGTGCTCTTTCCAGGTTGTGCAGCGCTGCAGCACACCCGCGCCTGCGCTGTGCGCGCACATTGTGCCCTCACCTCTTGCCCCACATCCGCGCCTGCGCTGTGCGCGCACATTGTGCCCTCACCTCTTGCCCCACATCAATCTCCCCGCGCGACGTGGCCCCGACAAAACAGGCGTACGCGCAGGTGCGGAGTGGCTTGACGGAACCTGGGCAAGGCTGCTCAAAAGCCTTGCCGGCCGACAGACCGGCAGTGGCTTCCAACACGCGCATCGCCATCCTACCTAATTTTCAGCGGCATGCATAGACTGTCGGGCTTGGCGCTCTCTGCTGCCCCATGCAAATCTGCAAACAGCACCTGAAGCAGTGCTGCCCGCTGGATGTCCCCGCACCTGAAGACCTGGCGAACCACCCCTGCGAATTTCGCTCGCTCCCAGTTGCCCCCTCACCCCCTGCCTCATCTCCATCCACACCTGACCAGGCCGTCAATCAGGGCAACCCCGCCGCCGCCGGCAACGCCATTGCTCAGGGCGCCGCCGCCGGCGGAAACGACGCAAAGGCTCAGGCTCAGGTGCGCGACCATTCGAAGCTTTGCAGGTTTTGAACTGTCAATGGCTTTGTATATCAGGGAGCCAAGGCACACAGAGCCCTGTGATAGCCCTGTCTTTTACAGCAAAGGCACGTACCGCATGTGCTGTGAAAAACCATCAGGGGTGGCAACCCAGCCCCGCATTACCCTCCACATCAACCCACTTTATCATGACATCAATCAAATCGTCGTCACATCACATTTCCTCTCGACCCCAACCCTTGGCTGTTCTTGCTCACCTCTTGACCCAACCTCGGTACCCCCAAATTCCCCCTCCATTGACAGGCCATCGCCCAGGCCCTCGGCTCCGGCGGCGCCACCGCCCAGGCCGTCTCCAAGGCCACCGCCGAGGCCTACGGCACCCAGCCCCAGCCCGTGTCCCAGGCGCTGGGAACTGCCCTGACCGACGCCAACGGCAACCCCTCTCAGGGTGCGCCGGCCGGCCCAAAAAATGCCCCTGCGTGCGCAGCTCGCTGCGTGTGCTCTGCGCATGCCGTGCAAGCTCCTCGGGCCCGGACGGGCGTCACTCTATCTAAGCCGTGACCAGGCTGTCTTGAAGCTCGTAGTGCTGAGCGCACTGCTGGGGTCCATGGCCGGCACCAGGATTCTCGCGACCGCAATTTGCTGCCCTGCTCACGCCCGCAGCTCCCAACGCCCCACCCTGCCCCACCCTCCATCACCAACGCAGCTACCGCCGCCGGCAAGGCCGTGGCACAAGCTCTGGCGGCCGGCGGTGAGCGGTTCCCAGACTCACGCGCCGGCACGCGCCCTACGCTCACCCGCCTGCCAACACAAACATCTGCCTTTATCGTGGGGACGGGGCAGTTCTTTGTATGGTCTTGCTCATTGCTTCACTTGCGCCACTGCAACCCCATCTCGCCGCACCTTCGTTTTGTCCCAGGCAACGAGTCCAAGGCCTTCGCGGCGGCCCTGTCCCAGGCTGTGACCACCGGCGGCTGCGGCGCCGTCACCAACGTCCTCGCGCGTGAGCGTCCGTGCCTGCCTCTGTCCGCACCGGCATTTGCGCGTCTGCTGCTGTCGCATCCATTGAGCTGTGTTGTGCACACACACCCTAGCTTGCTTCGTCCCTGCTACTTATGCCCTGCGGCAATAACTGAGCACACAGCACATAGCAGCGGCCTGCGGGTCAGTACAAGAGCACTGTGTTTGCTTGCATGTGCCTCAACACATTCTCTTGTGCACGTACACTGAGCACGCGCACAGCACTTCCTGCCACCTTGGCGGGCCCAAATATGTCTCCCAGCCCTCCAGCTCCCCAAGCGCATGCTCCCAACCTCCCCTGAAAAGGTCACTTCTAACACTCGCTCCAAGCCTCTCCACCCACGTCCACCCTGCCCTGCAAACGCAGAGGCCCAGGCCAGCGCCGCTTCCACCGGTGATGGCAAGTCGGTTGCACAGGTGAGGGGTTCAGGCAGCCACGCAATCAGACACATATAGATGAAACCCGGCGGGTGTTCTGGGGCGCAACCAGGCAACCCTTGCTTGCGCCACCCTGTGTTGAAGCGCCGCCCTGCGGTGCGGCCGCTGGACATTTACAACCGACCTGGCGGGGCCTGCACTGCTTGCATGTCTCCTCTGGTCTATCAAAACTGCTGGGATGTTGGAAGTACGGCAGGAAGGCTTTGACATCCATTCGCCTCCATCTCCCCGCTCTAGGCCCTGTCTCAGGCCGGCGCCACCAACGCCGCTGATTGCGTGAGCATGACGGGACCGCTACGCCCTGCTGTGCGCTGTGCTGGCCGCTACACTGCTCACTACTTGCTTACCCTGGGTGACTGCTCGTACTCTCCACACACACGCCCAATTGTGTCAGCTGATGCGGAGCGGACTCCGTTTGTGTCGTCCACCCTCATATGAATAGCCGGCAAAACCCTTACCACCCTCATATCTGCCACTCTCTCGCCACCGCAAATCCCAACTCTTCAGATTCCGGCGGCGTCCCCTTCGCCTACTGGCGGCGCCACCGCCGAGGGCTCCCCCTCCCCCGCCCCCTCGGGCGCCGCCGCCCAGGCCGGCGCGGCCGCGCAGGCCGGCGCCGCCGCGGTGCCCTCGCCCTCCGCTTCGCCCGCCGGCGGCGCCACCGCCGCAGAGGTGTCGCCCAGCCCCTCGCCCATCCCCGGCCTGGCGCAGGCCCAGGTGGGTGGATGGACACGCACGGCGTGTGCTGGCGTGCCGATCGGTTTCCAGGTTACTGCAATGGGTCCTGCTGGTGTGTTTGTTTTGGCTGCCCAGTGGCTGGGGATGTTCGAAGCAACTCTCACTGAAAAACAACAAGTGCCTTTTCAGCTTCTCATCGCAGAGGTCGGTCATTGCTCATGACCCGCAAATGCAGGCTCGCGCCTGCCGCACTCCATTTGTGTGAGCCGCTTGCCCACCAAATGTCTGAGCGTCCACACCTCCACCTCTCCCACCCTTCACGCTCCGTGAAGCGAATGGTCGACGCCCCCCACCCGCTGCACCCCTGTCGCTCCCTGCTCGCAGGCTGCGGCCCAGGCCGTCGCTGCCTCTGGCGGCAACGCCCAGGCGCAGGCGCAGGCCGCCGCGCAGGCCGTCGCCAAGGCCGGCGGCTCCGCCCAGGCCCAGGCTGAGGCCGAGGCTCTGGCAAAGTCTGGCACCCTCGAGTCCCCGTCGCCCTCGCCGGCCGCCGGCGAGGCGGCTTCGCCCCCTCCCAGTGGCGGCGCCACCGCCGCCGAGGCCCCCCCGAGCCCTTCCCCCATCCCCGGCGAGGCGCAGGCTGCGGTGGGTTTGAGTTGGGCTGGTTTTGCATTCTCGCACGTGCGTGCGTGCGTGCATGCATCCATGCGTGCGTGCGTGCATGTGTGCGTGCATGCGTGTGTGCATGCGTGCGCGGGCATGTGGTGGGGTGCTTGTTCCACAGCGAGGACCAACTGTTGCAACCCGCTGGCTGCTGTCAAACCTCTCAACAATTCCATCGCCATGTGGCGGCTCAGAGCGCGATGATCTCACTTACACATCCCAATGCATCAACCCGCTCTGCCTTGCCAAACCGCAGGCCGCCGCCCAGGCCGTCGCCGCGTCTGGCGGCGGCGCCGACGCCCAGGCGCAGGCCGCCGCGCAGGCCGTCGCCAAGGCAGGCGGCTCCGCCCAGGCCCAGGCCGAGGCGGCCGCCGAGGCCAAGGCCGGCACGCTCGCCGAGTCGCCCTCGCCCTCGCCCTCTCCCGAGGCCGGCGGCGGCGCCGCTGCAGAGGCGTCCCCCTCCCCCAGCCCGGCCGCGTCGCCCTCCACCGCCCAGGCCGGTGCTGGCGCCCAGGCCGGGGCCGGCACGCCCTAAACAGGTGCGCTGGCCTCAGCAGTCCCGCAAGCTCCACTCTTTCCTTGCATCCTGGGGGTATTGCCATTTCAGGAGGGTTTTATTTCGAGCGTCGTGGCCATGAATGTTGGCGCACTGTATGGCTGGTGCCGGCTGCGGTGCCGCATCCCACCTGGTGGCTCTGGAACGCCTTGCTGGGGCCGCCACCTCCCCCCTCATCCGCACTTGCTGAACGCGCCCCCTCCCTGTGCCTCCTTGACTGCACTGAACCCCCTCAGGTGCCGACGCAGCTCCGCCGCCCCTGGAAAAAACACCAAGCGCCGCCCAATCTTGAAAACCCAACACCACTGGCGGCCTCCGCTACCCGCTAGACTCCGATCAGGATTGCGCGGCGCGTGGGTGGCGGATGATGATGGCCCCCTCGCATTCGTGCGCAGCCTTTGCGCCCGCTGCAGCCCCCCTCCACCCCGTGACGAAGAGTGCCGCATCCCATCGCCAAGAAAGGCGGCGAGTCTTTTGGCCGCCTGCAGTGACCAGACGAGTGCCGCTGCTGTTTTACATCATGTCATCGTGGCCCACCGGGGCGCAGGGAGCAGGGCGCTGAGCCATTGCTTTGGCCTAGCGGGTGCTGCAGGGTCACAACCGCGCCGGCGGCGCAGCGTTCGAACAATTACATGATGATGGTGCCTCGTGCGAGAGTTGCATGGGCGGTGGCGGCAGGACTTGAGAGAACTTGATTGACCGAGCCGGCGCGTTTTCGGCGGCGTCGGTGGCGCGCGGGCGCCAGAGGTGCCTGCCGGCATTCCGCTGCGCCGCGGGACACGCTTGGCTTGACGCACGGGCTTTTGTGTCCGGAGTGTGCAGTGCTTTTTGTAACTTGATGCATTGTTATGCAAGCGGTTATGGCGGGGGGGGGGGCGTGGTGAGCAAAGCAGCCGGCTGGTGGTTAGGCTTCCTGGCTAATGGCCCAAGTGGGGGCGAATGCGCCAAGGGGTGTGAGCTGCTGGGGCTGAGTGGCGCGCAGCGTTGTCCACCCCGCAATCAGGCGGAATGGCAGCGCCGCCTTTGCCCGACCCCGTCGAAGCAGGGACAGCTGCCGGCCGCGCCGACGCCCGGAAGCAACCACTCCAGTGGGCACGTGGGGAGGCTCGACAGCTGAAATGTCAAAAAGTGGAGTTTTACGGTCAAAGATTTCTGTGTGTTGGCCATACGATGCTCTTTTGAGGTGTGGATCAGTGGAGGCTCCTTGAGCTGCCCCACAGAGCATTAGCAGCAGGAGGGACAGAGCAACGCTGAGCGCTGACAGGTGGTGCGCTGACCAACTTTTGTGTGCGCAGACGGTGGTGTGCTGTCGACAAGCAGGACCCACTCCAATCACATGTATAAGCCTTGCAATCCAATCAAATAACTAATCAGTATACAAAGCTCCTCAATCACACAGAGGGACGTGGTGTTCAACAAGCGCGAGAGCTCGGGCTCATCGGCCAGACTGGTTCGCGCGGTCCCATCCGATCGCGTGCTAGCTGATCTGGGGATGCACCTGGATTCATCATAGCGTCTCCGGCCCTGGCAAGGCCCTGGGAAGCGATGTCCCAGGCGATAGGCACGACCAGGAACCTCACGCAGCAGTTTATAAAGTATCGCAATGATGTGAAGCGATCGAGGCCGGACCTGGCGGAAGATCGGTGAGCGCAGACCTGATCCGCACGGCGCGCGCTGCGCCTTCCGCTGCAGCACCTGCTGCAGCAGAGGTCGTTGCGGCTCCCAGCGATGGTTTGAACGGACTGCTTTGAAGCCTTTGCGCTGTTTGAACATAATTGATGTGCAGCTTGAGGGGGTTCCGCCCCTCTCTCCCTGTTTTGGCACATGCGAGCATCGGGCGTCCCTGGGACACCTCAATGCTGACAAGCAGGCTGGCAAGCACCGTTGCCCATTGCGGCAGCCTCGCAGTGCCAACCACGCACACACACACGCCATGCCACCCGACCCCTGCCGCCGACTCGCCCAGGCTCGGCAGCGAGAACGACCGCGCGACAGCGAAGCTGCTCGGTGCGGCGCTGGGCGGCAGCGAAGGGGACATCGAATTGGGCAGCGCAGGCATATCTGCGGGCTACGCCCCTCGATGGGTCCAGGTGTGCGCGCGTGGCAGGCGGCCGGGGGGCTGTGCGGCCACAGCTGGCTGCTGCTGGTTGCAGGCGGCGGCCTCTCCCTGCACAGGCTTCCAGCTCCTGCAGTGAAACACAATGCTGCCGGCCACAGCCCGCATCCCCAGCGCCAAGGCGTGCCAAGCGGCGGCCTGGGCCAGGGCGCTCCTTGAAAGCCCCGCAAACAAGAAAGCTTGCACAGGCCGCCTCGCCGCGACTGCTCGCCGGGGCGCCGCGCGCCGCGCGCCCACCCCTCACGTTGCAGGTGTCTGAGAAGATAAAAGGGGACATGGGGGTCCTGAGGGAGCGGATCGCGAAGCTGCGCGAGTGAGTCAATGCGCGTTCGGGGCCTCGACCTTCGGCCTGCGTATTCTGGGAGTGCGAGGCGCCGCACAGGAGCAACTGCGCGTGTTTGTGCGTCCGCTGCGGCACGCGCGCGACCGGGCGCCTCGAAGACCTCGTCAGTGCCACGCCTCCTGCTCTTGAGCGCCGCAGCGGGGCCCAAACACTGCCCGACCGCGCCTGCCGCACCCACCACGCCGCGCCTGCGCCCGTGCCCGCGCCTCGCTCCCCGCGCCCCTTGCGCCGCAGGTACCACGGGAAGGCATTGCTCGTGAGCTTCGACGACGGCGGCGGCGGCGCGGGCGCGCAGGTCGACGCCGTGACGCGCGAGGTGCAGCTGTCCTTCAGGCGGTTGGACGGGGAGATCCGCGCGATGCAGCAGGCGGGGGGCCGCGAGGAGGACGCGGCGGTCCGGCTGCAGGTGCAGCGGCAGCTGGCGCAGGCGCTGTTCAAGCTGAGCGTGGAGTTCAGGTGGGGACAGGGCAGTGGACCCGGGCTCATGGGAGTGGTGGTCGTGTTATTATGCATCCGTGGATGTTGCTGTGTGGGTTCATTGCGCGCATTGTTTGTTGCTTGGGTGCGCTGCCAGGCAGGTTGTGCGCGGCAGAGGGGACGAACCGAGGGCACCCGTCGGGGCGCCCTTTTGCACGGCTGGACGTGCGGAACTCGAACGCTGCGGGGACGCTGGGGAGTGGATGGGGCCAGTCGTTGACCGTTGGAGGTTCTCAATTGCATGCAGCAGCCCCAAGGCCGCGGCTGAGGCGCAGAGGCTCTTGGCCTGAGCCCGCTGCCGGCCGGTGGCGTGCCGCCAGCGGTCAGTGCCCCCGTCGCCGCTATCAGCATCGTGAGGGATGACTTCCCTTCTAAACATCCCCAAATCAAACCGCTTGTCCACACAGGAAGGAGGAGACACGATTTCTCAACAAGATTGAAGCCCAGAAAGGCTACGAGAGGGGCAGCAGCATCGGCCTGATAGAGGACGACGCGCCCGGCAGCAGCCTGGGGGCGGCGGCGGCGGCGGATCCCGGGTTCACCCAGGCGCAGCTGATGAAGGTGTCCCAGGCGGAGTCGCTGGTGGAGGAGCGGGACACGGAGATTCGGAAGGTGGGGGG